GAAACTTGTGTCAATGATGGAGACCATCACTACCTCCTTGAAAGCGACCCTCGGCTTTCTCGAGACAAACAAAAAGCTTGATGCGACAGTGTATGAATCCATTGAAAGCACACAGGTGCAACAGCTTCTCATGCAGGTGAAAGGAATTGCCCTGTCACTTGAGGAAGCTGGGAAGGTCACAGAGACGATTCATCTCTCTAGCCTGAGCGAGTATCACAAGAATGCCTTGTGCCAGGCCATTTCACGCAGCGCTTCGTCTACCCCTGCAGGGAAAGGTGCCCGAGCCAGCCAAAAGCTACTGACTGGCTTCAAGAACTATTTGACGAAGCAGGACAGGGCATGAGGGGCAGCGTCCTTTTGCCCGAATGACCATCATTGTGAAGCGCATGATTGCCATTGGCTTGTACATGCCATGTGAGAAGACCATGGGGCACATTACCCAAACCTGTGCCGAGTGTTTCGACATGGCTGGGACACCTCAGGAAAAGCATGCCCTTCTAGAAGAATTGAAAAGGCAGCTGAAGACCCAAAGGGAGGGCCTGCAACCCAAGATCATTGAGTTTCCAGGTGATCCTCGCTCATGCTCTGGGCTCGGCAAAGCTTTTGAGGGTCAGGAGCTGATGCCTGTGGAGCTAGCAGCTCACAAACCAGGCAAGTGGCTGAGAGCAAGCGCCAAGGATTTGAATCCATTGGGGGGACATAAACAATCCCCATCTGGAGGGTCCCATGATATGGCATCAATGGCATCAAACCCGCTCCTCGCCATGCTCTACAACATGGTCATGCAGGGCCAACAGCAGCCTTCAAGCGACGCCCGACTGAATCTCAAGGTCTATCCCAGAAAGGTCAAGGCTCTTCAGGATGGTGCTGCAGAGGAACCTCCCAAACCTGAAGGTGGAACCACTGCAGAGGAACCTCCCAAACCTGAAGATCCTGTCAAACCGCCTTTTCAGGTTGGAGCTGCGGCTGCAGCCTTGCCCTGTGAGGAGTCTGGTGACAGCAGGTGGATGAGCGCCTGGAACGCACGAACAAGGCTTTTTCTGAGAGGCCAAAGGGTGAGCCAAAGGCAAAAGCCAAGGCTGGTGTCAAGGGTGCTGCCAAGTCAAAGGCCAAAGCAAAAGCTAAGGCCAAAATCAAAGGCTAAGGCAAAAGCTTCAGCCAAGGCAGCATCCAAGAAAAGGCCATGCATGATTCGTCAGGTTGGCCCTACTTGCTACTAGAGGCAGGGCAAGATTCATCGTTCTGATGCAGGCGAATGCTGGAGGGTCTTTCGTAAGAGTTCAGACAGTTGCGATCTCAAGGTGAACTGGAAAGGCAACCCTTCAGTGGCCTGGCAGAGGGCGCTGGCTGTGATAGAGGAAGCCGAAAACATGTGAGCTTCCAAACAAATTGTTCAATATCATTTCTTGCAAACTGCTTACAAACACATACTATTTTTTCAATGTGCGCTTCATAATATCTCTCTTGGTGAAGCCAGCCGGACGCTGCTATATGTGCATATGCACCTTTTCTTCTTGGCAGGGTTTTGCCCGCCGCGCAGGGCCTGCTCGCGCATGTGTCCCATGCATCTCTGGGAACGCGTTCTGCATTGCTGTTTTGCTCGCAGGGGTTGCATTGGCATATAGTTCAATCTGTTTTTCCGCACAAGTTTGCATAAACCTCCGGTTTCCTTTTGATGCCAATGCATGAGGGGGTTGGCGAGCAGTGGTGTCAAACGTGATCAAAGACCAATGCAAGCAGTGGTGCGAAAAAGCAACCTCTGTTCGTGCATAGTGGTACGTGATGAACACTCAACATGTTGTCGAGCTGGGGCTTGCTCCAATCAATGTATACCTGTATATACTTGTATTTACCAAGCTGTGGCTTTTGCAAAGAGACGGCGCCTTTGCGCATTGATATCAGGAGATTATTGTTGATCCATATCTTTCCATCTTGTTTCGTTAAATCCTTCCATGGCATGTCCATCTTGTGTTTCATACAGCAGCTGTGAATTGAGCCATGTCCCATCTGGCTGCGATTGGGCGCAGACGATATGTTAGCCAATCTGCTTTGAGTGAAGTCTTGAAAGAAATCAAAAATGCTGGACTACCAGAAGGGGTTAGCAGAAGCTCTGTGAAAAGAGCCAGGGAGCGTGAACTGGCGAGCTGGAGCAATTCAATTGGGGATGCCATCACGCGCATGGTTTTTGAATGTGTTGTCACAAAGGGGAAGAAAACTGGTACTGTGAAGCTTCCGGTTGTTCACCCATGGTGGTTCCTACAGGTTTGCTGCAAGAAATGTCCATCTTTCATCAGATACTTTCAGCAGTACCTTGTAGACCTGGGCACCTCACCAAATGATGCATTCGAGCAACTCTGACTGTGCACTCACTACGCTTTTTGTTTAATATTTTAGAACGCTAGATTCCATTTGAAGCATGTGCCGTGACATTGTGAAGCCAAGGATTATTTTGTATTGCGACGAGGTCAGTCCTGGAAACCAATTGAGACATGAAGCAACTCGAAAAGTCCAAATTCTTTACTGGGGAATCAAATGTGCTCCTGGAATGTCTGTGGACCAGCTTTGGTTCACTCTTGGTCTGGCCAGATCCTCCATCGTGAACAAGTTGGTTGGGGGAATGAGCGGTTATGTCAAGAAGGCATTACAACTGTTCTTCTCTCCCATCAATATGCATATGGGTGTTCAGTTGCGGGTGGGCGATGAAGCCCACATCAAGTTTGCCAAACTTGCTATGTTCCTGGCTGACGAAGTCGCTTTGAAGGAAGTGTTTAACTTCCGCTGGCTTCCTTTGTTGCCCTTTGTGCTTGAACCTGGTGAGTGAGTCTTCCAACCTGCACCGTTATGGTGATAGGTCATTGGTGCCGAGCACCAGTTGTGAGAAGACCAAGTGGGTTCGGGCGGGGGACAACACTATTTTAGCAAAACTTCGAAAATTGCGCCAAACCCATGGCACAGTCTCCAAGGCTGCTTTCGAAGATTTGGAAAAGAAACTGGGTTGGTCTTACAATCCTTTTGGAATTTTGGGAGACGGCTCAGCGAGCCCTGAGCATGGTATCAAGGTGGAGGGCATGCTGCAGTTTGATTACATGCACCCATTGCTTGTCCATGGTGTTTGGAACATTGAAGTTGGTGAACCAAGCCTCTTTGCCCAACAGTGTAGCATCGGCGGTGGAGAGCTACATGGCTTTGGCGAGGGTGTTGGATGTACTCTTGGCCCTCAGGAAAGAATGCACCGCACCAATCATTGCCAATCTGGATAGTAGCATCACCGCCTTTGTGAAGAGCCATCAGCAAGCATGGGGCTCCAGCCTTTGGGTTCCCAAACACCACTACCTGATGCATCTACCAGAGATGCATGCTAGACACAAAGTGGTTGCAGGCTGTTTCGTACACGAGAGAAAACATCGAGTGGCCAAGAGGTTTTCAGAGAACATGGGACTTGTTTCTGATGCTTTTGAAGCGTCCATTTTGAAAGAAGTGCTGCGTGTCAATCTGACTGACCTGGAAGACAAAGAGATCGATCAACTACATGTTGGGCTGGTGAAACCAGTGCCTGCGGATGGTTCTTTGAAACTGCATTTGCAACAGCTTTTGGGCACACAAGGGTCCATCTACCGTGCCCGGCAGGCCCACTATTGCGTTGGAGGGCCCAGCACTGCAGGTGATTTTGTCCTCTTGGATTTGGATGGGAGACCGCAAGTAGGCGAAGTGATGTTCTTTGCTGCCAGTGATGACAATTCTTTTGTACGCGCCGATTTGTGGAACGCACAGGGAGGCACTGTTTTTGTAAAGACTGAACGTCATGCGTTGTGCGATCTGGGCTGTATTCGAGAATGTTTGATTTACAAAAAGAACTCTGCCCTCAGCATTTACGTTGCGCCAAACACCATGTGGGTGTGAGGGCAGTGCCAAAAAGGCACGCTGGCAGGGTACATTCTCGCCCTCTCGGCTGCAATACTGGTTTGCGCGCTTGGCCGAAAAAGGTTTGCAGTCTCTAACGCACCGTCTTGTTCATTGAGAGCTCCTGCCAATCTCCAAAGATAGATGTCACCAATTGGTGTTTTCATGTCCCTCTGGGCGAGTTAACCAAAACCTGCCATGTCAGCGAGTGCATTCACCCTGCTACAGAGAAGCTTTCAAGATGTTTGTGTGACAATGTTGTGTACTCTCTTGCGCAAGCCTTTCTTCATGTATAGCTTTACTACAGAGAAAAAATGGCGCTGGACGAATGTATGTTTAAAGCCTTTTCTCGGTAAACTCTGTTTTGTAAGCGTCCCACCCCCTCGCAGGTCCGCAGCTGGCAGCTATGCAAGGCAACTTCCATTGGCTGGAAGGGTGTACTCAGTGGATTCGGGGTGGCTCTTTTTTTGTAACAATGGCCACGTGTAGTGAATAACACCTTCAAAGGTGTATGGGTTTTTCAGTTCAGGATACGTCTTGGGACTGTAAAGAAACATGAGTAGATAACGTATTGTTTGGAATCTTTACTGTAAACGAGTGTCCATGTATGGCCTTGATATACTTTGCAGGTGCTCCACCAGAAGTGGATAAGGGTTTTTGGTCCTAACCGTTCTTTAAGAACGCTGCATCGAAAACATAAAAAAGCGTACTTCCCAAACAAAAACAGTATTTGACACCATGGAAACATGTTTTTTGCTCTCCCCTAAATCGACTTAGGCAACTTAGCCTAAGTCACTTAAGTGAGTTAGCGTAACCCCCCTAAGTGACTTAGGCCACTTAGCCCTAAGTGACCTAATTCCACTTAGGACGCATACGTTAAGTGCTCTAGGTCGACTTACGTAAATGACTTATAAGAGACATATAAGTCAAATAGAACCTATGATCTAAGTCATCTAAATAAATATAAGTCTTAGTAACAGTTACTAACCAGGGCGGTCGTCCAAGTAGAATTTAGTTTCAGTCGCGTGTTTGCTAAATCTTGTTTTCGTTTTTTTCGTCGCAGTTTTTGCAAGTCTGCCCGCAGTCCGCTTGAGTCTCAGGCATCGGAGTCCTCTGCCCTTGAAGAAGCTGTGCGATGCTGTAGAGCTGCTGGCGGTGATGCGCGCAGACTTCTCGGCGCGGAAAACTTCAAAAATTCGTTATTCTTGGTTTCCTTCTTTTATTGAACATACCTCAATCCATGTAATTGCAAACCGGGCCATGACTCAAAACTGGGACAGCAATCCATGGCCTGTCATGACAGTGTGCATGACTGAGTATCATCTTATAAGGTGATTCTTAGGATATAAATCGTCAGTTTACGTATCTGGTTTACTCACGCAGTCTTTTCAGTGTCAAGGCTTTAGGCACTGCAGTTGCGCCGCGTGTATGTTCATCCTCAAGACAAAGATTGTTACTTGGAAAAATCCTCAACGCTTCACCTGCAACGCTTTCATTTGCAAGTGCAGGCGACTTTCTGATCCAATTCTCTGGAAAGCTCTCCGAGATACAGCTACAGCCTCGTGGAACACGAGGGGGGGATACCAGGGGAGCCTTGTGAGCCGTATTTGCTTAGCGTACCTAGGTTGCAAGCCGTCGACGACGTGTACATGGCGGAAGGCTTGAAACCTGTTAGCTTGGAAAACTTGGATGGCTTCGAGCTCTGGCATCCACGTTGCATCTTGGCTGCAAAATGGTGGGGAAGGGGTTGTTCAAAGTTCAGAGTGTACTTCCCGCTAGAGTACATTCGCTAAACAGCAATACGAGTGCGAAGGCCAGACATGTTGCCACCAAGTGTCGCATTGCCGCGCAATCTAAGCAAATACCAGTTCTTAACATGTCAAAAACAGGAAGAGGCACCATACAGGGTGGGCTGCATAGGGCATGGGCCCCTCTATATATATATACATATATATACACACACGGCTTTTGGTTTGAATCTAGCTTCTTGCTGCTTGCAATTCTCTAGACTCTAGACGTCGGCCGATGCAATTCTCTAGACCGTCGGCCGTGTTGGCACCAACTTGGGCCCAGGCAAGGTATTGATTTGGAAAGGTGACATCACCAGACTGGCAACAGATGCAGTGGTGAACGCTGCCAACGAGGCCCACATCAAACTGGACGTTTTGTTCTTTCAAAGAGCGCGGTTTATCGGCAATGCGTTCTGTTTTGCACAGCCAGGAGGGAAGAGGTTGCTTTCAGCCTATGCATCGCTGCCGGTGACTTAGAGCTATGAACTACCGTATCACTTTTGCCTCGGTTTGCAATTTGGAAATTTTAAGCGTCGCCGCAACCTGAGCTGTAGCTTTTTTGGGCTTCTGCGCATTGCTTTTAGGCATTGACAACGTATTGCACCGTGCTGCGGGTCCCAGATTGCGCATTGAGTGCACAGAGCACATGCGCGCGCGGAAGAAGCTGCTGGCCGGGACGTGACTTGGAATTTATTGCAGAACCATGTAATTTTTCCCACGAAACCCAGAAACTGTGTCCAGCTTCTTAATTTGTTTGTATGTTTCTACCACTAGGTTGCCTGCTCTCTACCTCTACCTCTCCTTCGTCCCTGCAAAAGCATAAATGTGAAAATGAATCCATTCCATCCATACATGACGTGTACAGCATATTCGATCGAAGGCCTTTCTGGTTGGAAAACAGCTCGCATGGTAGCGGAGCCGGGAAGGCTTGCAGAATCTTGCAAGCTGGAGCTCCGAAATTCAACCTGTAAGAGCGCCCGTGCGGGGCCAACATAGAACTAGTGTAGCATTTTGCTTGCAATCGGTGCCTGAGCCTACCTGAAGCTGATCCTTGGGCGGCCTGGAGCTTTGGTGGAAGTGAGAAGAGGACGGGCTACCTGATCCCGTCTGAAGAGGTTGAGACCTAGCTGAAAGGCGAGATGGACGAGTCAGACATGACGGGTCTGGCCCAAGCGGTCATGGCAGCAGCAAATGCTGCGGCTCAAGCAGCTCAGGCGGCAGCATGCAGTGGAGGAGCTGGAGCGAGTTCGGGAGGCGCAACAGGAGAGCAAGGGATTCTGAAACGAGACCTGGCAAAACTGATCCCACGACCTAGTACCTTCAATCCTACAGATAGGGAACAGGAAGTTCTGCAACGGAGGGATTGGTACTGGACGGTCGAGCAATACCTGGTTGTTGTAGATTGCGCATTCCAAGATGAGTTAGAGAAGCTGGAATACAATTTGACAACAGAAGTGGACTGGGAATTGTTGGACGAAGGTGGACAACAAAGAAGCAGGTTTCTATATAGTTTGTTGGGAAGCCTCGTACAGGGACGGTTGACAGGGGTCATCAAGAATGTGGAGAAGTTCAACGGCATGGAAGCACTTCAACAGCTGCTGATGAATTGCCAGCCTCAAGCCAGGAACAGGACGACGGACCTCCTGCAGGGTATAATGTCTTACCTTGTTGCCTCAGATCCTCAAGCTGGAAGAACACTACGTGCAGTACGAGCGCCTTGGAGGGAAGTTGTCACCAGACATGAAGTCGGCAGTTCTCCTCAGGGCAGTTTCTGGTCAGATGAAGACACATTTGAACCTGACTTTGAATGAAGGAAGCTCGTACAGCAAGATCCGGGACGCCATCATCGCCTTTGACACTGCCACCACCAAGTGGAATGAATCTGGAGCCCTGACTTTCTCCGGAATGAGCCAATGACAAGTTCGACAGATCCCAATGGCCCTATTCGCATGGAGATCGACCGCATCAAAGGAGATGGGAAGAAGGGTAAAGGGAAGACGAAAGACAGCCAAGGGAAGTCAAAGGCAAGATGACAGATCTAAAGGAAAAGGGAAAGGTGGCAAGCCAGGAAAGATGGCAAAGGCAAAGGAGGTGGAAAAGACACCAAGGGTGGAAAGGAAAGAGTTCCAATGAAGTGTGTTGGACCTGCGGCAAACCAGGGCATATGTCGAGAGATTGTTGGAGAGTGAGGCAGGTTGAGGCTCCAGCAACACAGAGCATTGCCGGGTCCCACGCTACGTCGCCTTCTACCACTTGACGACAAGCGCAACGAGTGGAGGAGGTGGTGATTCCAACTCAGGCGCCAAGAACATCAGGCGTGTTTCACAACCAGTGATCTTCGACTTGAGAGAAGGGAGTGAAGCTGGTTCAATTCGAGTGGTGAGTCAGGTTGAATTTTTCAATGTTGCCTCAGATGAAGAGGATGAGTACGACTGCTATATGGTCAACACCATTGCAGAGACAGATGATGAAGAGGAAGCCCATGAAGTTGGTGAGATGGATGAAGAGTTGCGCTGCAAACACTGAAGGTGATTGTGGACTCAGGGGCAGACGCCTCGATCTTTTTGGAAGACTCATGGGGAAAACCAGGGGAGGTGATCAAGTGTTGGGAGCAGCACTACACCTACAGGATGCGCCGGGCAAGAAGATCCAGAGCTATGGCCACAAGGACGTAGACATCGTGTTGATGACGTCTGAAGGTCAATCTGTGGTCTTGAAGGAGAAGGTGACATTCAGCGACATGGTGAACCAACCCATCTTGTCTTTTGGCCGTTTGATGAGAGGTGGATGGTCGATAGACGGGCAACGACAATGCCTGCGAAATGGGAGCCTGGAGGTGCCTTTGGCGTTTCAGAACCAGAGTTTGGTGGTGGAAGCATCAGTTTGAGTCATCACTGAGCCTATGCGCGCTGGCAGTCAGGCTGGATGAGGAGTTGATGAACCTAGCTGGCAGTGGCTATGGTTGGAAGAGAAGAGATTTTTGGGTTGGCTTGCACCTCAGCGCAAGATTCCAGAGTCCGCAATTCATCCCTGGATTCAGAGATCAGTGAGAAGGAATGCGCAGAACGACCTTGGTGGAAAAGCAAGGCACTTGGGAGCTTGTGGAGATGGCAGAGCCCCTAGACGGGCTGGAGGAGCAAGAAGATGAGATTGAAGAGCTTAGAGAGTTAGGTCTCAGCAAGGTGATGACGTTTGTGGCTGCTGAGGGCGCGGTCCCAGAGAAGTTTGGCTTCGAGATTGATGAGGCCATTCAGCTTGGCCCCAAGCCAGCGATGGACGAGCTGGCTATTCCCCAGGCTCAAGATGAAGAGATGGAAGAGCTTGGAGGCATGGACATCCCTGGAGGTGAAGAAGATCACGACCCAGGGCGTGACTTGGAACAACAAATGGTTCGATATGAGATTGGTGTGGCCCTTCCAGAAGAGATTCTGTTGACAGTCCTCTACGGAGTTTGAGAGCAGCATGTGCCTTCTACCAAATTGGGCAGAGTGGCGGAAAGAGAAAATGCTTCAGTCGCCTAGTAACCCATCAAGGAGCTTTGGAGTTGATGATGGCAAGAGATCTAGCAGCAAGAGGGCAAGCTATGAACCAGAGGATTCCGTTGGAGCAGGCGTCAGCAAAGATTCCTACTGAGGCAGAGAGAAAGGCACATGAGCTTACTCACGTGCCCTATGCTCCATGGTATGGTGTCCCTCATGCATCAAGCATCGGGCCAGGCCTGATCAACGCAGGCGAACTGGCAAGTCCCACGATCAAGGATGCCCGACAATCTCCTTTGACTTCTGCAAGGTGAAAGCCAAGGGCTCAGGAGCTCTTGGAGAAGAAGAGGAAGATGCAGCTCAAGAAGGAGTCCAACATGATGACTGATGGTCGCAGTGTGCTCAGAAACAGGCTCATTGCTTGGGTTGCCCCTCAAGTCAAAGAATCAGATGAACCTGATTACCCATGAGCTTCTGGCCTTCACCCAACTCTTGGGTCATGAGGCAGCGCAGTACTTTTGTGACAACGAGCCGACAGCCAGTGCGCGCCTCCTCGAGAACAGCTATCGGGTTGAAGACCACCATGCGGACTACCAAGTTGTATGACTCAGCTGGAAACTCATTGGCTGAAAATGCAGCGCAGCGAGTTCGAGGCTTAGCAGCATCAATGATGGAGAGCATAGCAGAGAAGATTGGGCTTCGGTTCCAGCGTCAACATCCCCTATGGTCTTGGGCATGTCGCCACGCTGCTTGGACTTTGAGCAGGTATCAAGTTCTCAGAGGAACCGCAAGCTTCGAGCTGACTCATGGCAAGGCTTACGATGGGAAGATGTGCCCATTTGGAGAGGTGGTCTTTGCCTACTCCAAGCGGAAGCAAGGCTTCAAGGCAGATCCAAAGTGGAAAGCGGGCGTTTGCTTAGGCAAGACAGAAGTGCAAGATGCCTGGGTCATCGGAGACGGCGACAGAGTCTTCCTCAGCAAGTCAATCCGAAGGGTGACAGATGCAAGCACGAAGTACATCGCGCGCTACCAAGGCTTTACAGCGTACTCCGGGAATACCAACAGAACTTTGGAGGTTGCATTGTTCCTTCGAAGAGAGTGGCAACCATGGTAGGAGGTCCTTTGCTGGGTCTTCCTTCCCAAGGGACAGGAGGAGTTGCTCCACATGATGAAGATGCGAAGGAAGTCATTGCCTTCTCGAGGCCCTATGCCGGGAAATTGGAGGAGGTGAAAGATCGTGTAGATGTTGAAGAGAAGAAAGTGGAGACGCCTAAGGAGTTGAACGAAGAGCAAAGGCTTGCAGAAGACAAGAAGCTGGACTATGCTGAGGAGAGGGTCACGTTGCCAGTGATGAAGCCCAAAGATCCCAATATGGTGGATGAAGCACAAAATCAATTCAGCGCCGGCGACTACAGAAGAGCGGCTTCACCATGGAAGGTGGAGAAGGAGATCCGAAGAGAATGAAGCTCTCTCCCAGCAAAACGGTGTATTTGAGTGAAGGTGAAAGCTCAGAGTCCAAGAGGTTGAAGATTGGAGATGAAAAGCCTCAGGTTGAGAGAAGAGTGCAAGCCACAGAAGTGGGAGATGACGTCCACTACCACATGGACCAGTTCTTCGGTGAGGAGGAGTTCCTTGCATGGGATGAAGAAGCTGAAGAAGTGACTGTGGCAGGCGTTCCAGAAGCACTATGGTCGTCAGCGCCTTTGGATAGAGTCCCTGCAGATCCACCACTCTCGATCGATGAGCTAGCAGATGAAGTTGAAGAACAAAGACTCCTGAAGATGGGTGTGTTGGAAGCTATGGAAGGCGAGAAGACTGGCTTCAAGAGGTTGACAACTCGACTTGTCGGGGATTGGAGAGTCAAAGCACGCCAAGACCTTCCGGGAGCACCCAAACAATTTCTCAGCAGTCTGGACCTGTAGCTCGAGAGTATGCAGTGGACAGGAGAGATGATGTTCACAGTCCGGCAACTGGAGGACAAACTTTGCGCTTGCTGCCCATCATCTACCTCATGAAGAAGCTGGAGGAGAAGGATGGAGGTGAAGAGTACTGGCTGGGGTCGATGGACGTGAAGGATGCCTTTCTGCACATCCCGCAACCCAAGTGAAGACAGCCAGAGGTCGCTATGAGGTGAAGCGCAACCTTCCAGGCCAGAGACTGGGAGCAAAGGCATGGTTTGATTGTTTTACTGATTGGTTGAAGAGCCGAGGATTTCAGTTTGCAGACATCAATCCATGTCTTGGGGGAAAGGGGAACCACATGATGGTTTTGATCCACGTTGACGATGTGCTCTATCTGGGGAACAAAGGGTATCTGGAGAACACCTTCTTTCCAGGTATCAAGAAGAGCTTCGACATCTCAGAGCAGCACCTAGTTGGAGATGACACCACTTTTGCTTTCTTGAGAAGAACGTATGAACAGACGGCTAAGGGTTTGAAGATCCTTCCATGCAAGTATGCAGAAAGCATGGTGGAGCAGTATGAAGCTCAGATGGGTAGAGTGAAGGTGCAGAAGTTGCCTTGTGGTCCTGAAATGCTTGAGCAAGACGGTGCAGCGTTGTTGAATGGAGAGCTGCCCAGTTTGTTTCGGTCACTAGTGGGATGCGGCATCTACTTGTCTCAGGAGAGAATGGATGTTTCCTTTACAATCAAGGAGCTAGCGTCCTCAATGTCCTGCCCTACCACTGGGAGTTTGAGAAAGCTTGGGAAGTTGGTCGGCTACCTGAAGGGAACAATGGGGCAGTACAGCCTTCTTCCATACCCAGACCCAGGGCATGGACATGCGACTAGAACTACAACTTCAAGATGGTTTCTAGAGACTTTCGCAGACAGTGATTGGTCAGGAGCAAAGGGTCATCGCAGATCAACGTCAGCAGCAGTGCACATGTTGAATGGAGCGGTAGCGCTGACAAGCTCCAGGGGACAGAAATCAGTGTCCCTAAGTTCAGCTGAGGCAGAGTTGAATGCTTTGGGGAGTGGAGCGGCCGATGGCATCTACTTGCGAAGATGCTTGGAGTTTCCCATGGAGAAGAACATCATGCACTACTGTTTGGTTGACAATTCTGCAGCGCTCCGTTTGTGCCACAGGAAAGGTCCTGGGAAGCTACGACACATCGCAGGAAAACTGCTTTGGATCCAGGATATGGTGGCGCCGGGAGATCTTGATCTTGAAGTCAAAGCTGTGGGCACGGTGGCCAATGTGGCAGACTTGGGGACCAAACCATTACCCAAGGCACGAGTGAACTTCATTTTGACCTGGTGCCAGATTTACAATGGTGATGGTGAGTTACTTGGTCAAGAAGAGCATCGACAACTCGAGGAAAGGAGTGTGAGTCGAAGCAAGATCCAAAGACTTGCAAAGTTGCTCGTCCGAATCCTGCTGATGGAAGGCCTTGAGCGTGTGGCTGGAGAACGGATGGATATGAAGGAGGAGATCACCGTGACCAACTACAGCTGGTGGCTATGGATCGTCGTCATGATCTTGATTGCAATGATTGCAGCGCTGGTTTTCGGCATGTACAAGCTCTGGAAGAAGCTTGAGAGAACGGAGGCCAGACTTCAACAAGTAGCTGGTGACGTGAAGGTGGACGGCATGATGGTTGGAGCCTATGGTCATGAGGCAGGAAGGAATAGCTCAGTTGAAGAAGTATGTGGAGAAGGTGCACAGAGGCTTGATCAAAGCTTCGGGCTATGTGGACGATGATGATGTCAGAGGAGAAGACTGGAGGCATTGGAACTACCTCCAGGAAACCAACAAAGAGTTCGACGTGAGAAGGCTCGACAAGCAAGTCAAGACCTACCTTCAGATGAATGTTGAACAGACGCGTCGACACTTGAACATACGGGACAACACTTTGAGAGATGAAGAAAGTGAAGAAGGAGAGCATGATCCAGAAGATCGAGTACAAGTGAGGTTGGACTCTGGCGAGGTAGTCACAGTGAGGGCCAGAGATCTACAACCCAGAGAGCCAGAGAGCGAAGAGGAAGGACCAACGCCAATGGAGACAGAACCAGAACGAGTACCAAACCAAGCAGTGGAAGCACGTGGCAGTAGCAGCAGAGATCTTGAGTTTGAGGATTTGACCCTGACAGCGCCAACTACCAGATGGCTCACGGACACAGAACTGCTTGAAGTGAGTGAGTACGACAAACCATGGGCAAGGTCGTGCTTACGAGCAAAACAATACTCATTGCAGTTTGAGAAGAGATGGTTCGAACTGAACCAACGAAATGAACATGAGAGCAAGATGGAAATGTACTCCAGAATTGAAAAGCATATGGAGTTTCTAGACAGCGCAGCGATTCCATTTTGAAGAGATGACGCATTAAGCTGAAAGCTCAAAGCGTCAAGTAGGAGTGTGAAAATGAATCCATTCCACCCATACATGACATGTACAGCGTATTCGATCGAAGGCCTTTCTGGTTGGAAAACAGCTCGCAATAAATACACCAAAAGGCCATGAACAGTAGAAACTATTCTTTTTGAGTTCTACTCAATCCATTTCAATTTAAGAATTCATTTTTGTTTCGCGTCATTCAATGCTTTCCCTGTCCGACTTTCCAAGGCCTCCGCTGGTCACGAAGGCTTACCACCTGCCATCAAAAGCAGTGCTTCATGTCACTGGACCTCAGATCTCTCCAGGCAAAACCATTGTGATTCTTTTTGAATGACAAAAATCTACAAAAAGAGCTATCGTTTTGCAGAGTGGTCAAATTAATGGTGCTAGACAAAATCATCCCCGCGGGAGCCCCCCACCAATGTGGAGATGGCAGGCTCTCGTCCTTCTAGTCTTGCTCGCGAGCAGTTGAGGCTGCGTAGCTCGTGTAATTTGAACATGCCAACCATGCTCAGCATGTTTAGGCTTTCCAAGGTCCATTTTTGCTTTACGTGGATGCAGCGTGTATTGTCTTGCGCCTCCTTGTGAGACATTCAATTTTGATTGCTAATTTTCAATTGAAAGGAATGCCTACACAAGCTGCCTGGATGCAGCCAAAGAAGCAGGCCTGAAAAGCGCCACAGTCTCAGGGCATGGGAATCTTGCATTTTGATTTGTTTGAGCAAAGTCTTTGGCATCAATGGTGAGCTTCACTCAGCTTAAGACTCTGAGGTGGCCTTTTGCTGCATTTCCACAGGCCTATTCGGTTATCCTGCAGCTGAAGCGGCTGATATCGCATTGACAGCGGTTTGGAGGCCGAAAGAAAAATGTGCAAAAACAAATGGAGCAAAAAGTCGTGTAAAATACTATAATAAGTTATTCCCCACATTGCCGTGTGGGGTTCTTGTTTTTTTGCTGCACCTCCTCGTTCCTCCTCCGCTCCTCCTCCTCCGCCTTCCTCCTTCCTCCTCCTCTCTCACACAAATCATCTCTCACACAACATCACTCACACAACATCTCTCACACAACATCTCTCACACAACATCTCTCACAACAACATCTCTCACAACAACATCTCGCGCGCAACATCACTCACACAACATCCCACACGCAACATCTCGCACACAACATCACTCACACAACATCTCTCACAACAACATCTCACACACAACATCACTCACACAACATCCCACACACAACATCTCGCACACAACATCACTCACACAACATCCCCAACAACACAACATCTCACACGCAACATCTCCGACCGGTACCATTTGCGGGCTGTGTGCGGCGCTTGCTGCTTGCCAAGGGGTCGGATGTACGCCCTGGCGTTGTCTGGCGCCGGCTGGGCACCGGCGCTTTGCCGGTAGCATTTGCTTGCCGTGAGCGGCGCTTGCTGCTTGCCAAGGGGTGGGATGTACGCCCTGGCGTCGTCTGGCGTTGGCTGGGCACCGGCGCTCTGCCGGTAGCCTTTGCGCGCTGTGCGCGGCGCTTGCTGCTTGCCAAGGGGTCGGATGTACGCCCTGGCGTCGTCTG